ACTTGCTGAGAAAAAATTCTTTCTGCTGCGATTTAGCCAAACAGCTGAATACAATTTGAAGCCATCCTTTGTTTTTTTAACAAGGCAAGGTTGTTTTCCAAGACCTCAAATAGGTCATGTGAGTGTCAACGCTACCATACTGACTCAGAAGGTGGACCAGATCCTAGGTCTGGAGATGGAGTGGTGAGAGGACCTGCACCAGCAGGTGAAGACCACAGGTCCACCGGTGAGATCCATTCATCAGGTGTGGTGTTTTGAAGTCCTGATGTTTATGACAAAAGTTATGTGCATACTACTAAAAGTAAATTGCAGAACATTACAAATAATCATACATGAACCAAAAATGTCAACAACTACAATTATTGTTATTCGTCGTTATGCTAAGTATTTTTACCACATTTAGAAGTAGTAGCTGTTGTTGCTGCTGCTGCTTCTGCTGTTGTAGGAATGGTGATGAAAACATGGAATGAAGCTCTGCTGCCCCTCATGCCGCTGCTCCCAGGGCTGCAGATTTGCTAGTTCTGTGCAGACTGTAGACCTCTGCTGTGAAGCTGTAACTCAAGAGACTTTCAGTGCTCTGCCACTGGCAGAAACAAAGTTTGACTCAAGACAGAACAACAATTCTATGAATTTGAAGGTGGAGGGTAGGATGTTTCTGGGGTGCAGTTGAAGGGGAAGAAGCACACATCCCTTAATGAACGAGTGGAAGTCTATGGTGAATGGCAGGGTTTGGCCATGAAGCAAATCAGATTTGGATTTTACAGCTGGTCACTCAGTGAAACTGACACACCTGCAAAGCTGGAAATGGAGAACAAATAAGTGTGTTCCAGCGGCAGACAGGAGTGTCTTCTAAAAACACACCTGCTGCCTTACCCAGAACTTCTCCCTACAGCTCAAGCAGGCATTCTAGTGTAGAAAACCACAATGTGACTTCACCACGTTCTGGCTGGTACAGCATCTTTTTCTCCATTCTTTTATTTTCCCCTTCCCCATTCCATTATTGCACATAAAAATCTGGGGTAGGCACACAAGCACACTGCTGTTTTTGCTTGCTAAATGACATGTTGTTGAGCATCCAAATGAGATGGGGCAGAATAATACTGGTCCTGTGAAGACTCTCTCCACCAGTGGCCACCACTCAGCCCTTATCTCTGTATTTCAGGACTTAAACAACAAAAACCATAATACTCTTGCATAGATGATTTAATGAGTTAATTTTAATGTTTTTTAATATAGAATTGAAAAACCAAAACAATTTCATAACTTTTCTTCTACATAGTTGTTACACATAGGGCAAATCTGTTCATACATAGGACTAAATGACACTTGAAAGAAAAGAATGAATCTAAAATACTTTTCCCTTCAAATCCAGTGTCTGATGGTTTAAATATGCATCTTATGTAAATTGAAAAAAAATATATATATATATAAATTAAAATGTAAAGTTTAACTCACCACCCAGTATATCAGTTGGACCAAAAATGAGGAAAAAGAGGCATCTGTCTGCAGAAAGTTCTAAATTCTCCTGGGAGCCCCAGACCACTTGTACCTCCCAAGGGGACCCCGTCCTTGACCTGTTGCCACTGGCAGTGCATCCTGGTGAGGTTTCCAAGTCTTGACCCAGGAGGCACAGGGAGGGTAGAAGGTTGTCTGCCTCAGAGCCAGGCCAACATCCCTGATCCAGAGGGTGATGCCATTCTAGAGAAATTAAAAATGTTCTTGGGGGTTGATCCATAGGTGAGCTGGGCACCCCTGTGCTCATGGGAGCTGGAGCAGGCAGGAGCCCCACCCTCCTGGGTGCGGCTGTCACGGCTGCAGACCCAGGCATCTCTGCACTCTCGAGGGCCCAAGAAGGTCCCCACACCCCCACTGGCTTGGAAGTGCTTGTTCCAAGCTGTCTGACTTCTCACTGTCGGCAGCTCCAAGCACAGAGAAAAGCTGAGTCTGAGCCCATGCACACTCGCAACTGGCTGGGTGTGTGCACACTTGGGGCAGTGCTGACACGCCAGCGACCTGCCACCTCGGCCCCTTCCAGACTTTGGGCACCAACGAACATGGGAGGGAGGCCTAGGGGGGCTGAGGGCAGCTTGGCACCCTTGGCACAAACAGCCTGGGCACCATGAATGACAGCCAGAGTCAGACAGGTTCCTGGGTGGAAGGGTATGGGTCCCTAGTGAAGCCCCACTTTCCCACTGGGGAGGGCCTGAAGTCTGGGGTCCAGCTGCCAGTCCCACAGACTAAAGTGGTAGCTGGTGGTGGTTTTTCCGAGCCCACCCATAGCCACCCATGGACCAATCGGCATGAACTTTCTCCCCTCTGAAGCATGTAAAAGCTGGGCCTCAGACTCAGCAAGACTCAAGGAGATGATGGGATGACCAGCTGCAGAGAGGAGCTACCCAACCAGGGTCTCCTCTCTGCTAAAAGCCGAACACTTATTGGTACACCCTGGCTGTGGAAAGAAGCTACCCACTGCAAATCTTGTCTGCGCTGTTTTGTCACTCAGTAAAACTCATCCACTCATCCAAACCTCGCTTACTCTCCACTTGTCTGCATACCTCATTCTTCCTGGTCCAGGATAAGAACTTGGGACCTGCCAAATGATGGGGCTAAAAGAGCTGTAACACAAGTAAGGCTGGAACACAGCATTGCTGGCCATATTGCAGGTGACAAGAAGAGAAGAGAGAAGGAGAGAAGAACTGTGACCCTTCAGGGAACCCAGATATAAGAGCTCCCCAGACCAAGGTTGTGATACCCTCATTAGGGCTCTGCAGTTCCTGCTGCTTAGACTGCGGGGTCCAGCTGTGGACTTACAGGGAGCCAGCGCCACACCAGCACCTGGAGCTGCCCATCCCCCTGCAGCCCGTGTGCCTGCATGTGCACTGGCTGGACTCTGTGCTCGCTCACTCACACACCCCTTGCTGCCCCTCTTGCCCTTGGCAGGCGTGGGATCCACGCTGGTAGCACAAGCTGAGCACAGCCTGGCAGGCCAGGCGGGCCCAACGGGCCTGAGCAAAACCTGGGCAAAGGCACCACTGGACACAGAGGTTTCTGGCTGGCCAAGCAATACCCCAAGGACTCCATAACAATATAGTACTTTTATTTTCCATCTTTTTATGAGCATCCGTAATGTTTTCCTGGATGGCTCTTCTACTTTATGTTCCTACCAACAGTGGATGAGAGTTCCCTTTTCTCCACATTCTCAACAACACTTATCATTCGTCTTTTTGATAAGAGCCATTCTAACAAGCCTGAGGCAATATCATTGACACTACTTTTCTCTTATCTCAATTAAGTGGCTCAAATATTATATGTTTTGCCTGTAAGTGGGCTCAAAGTCTCCCACTGAAAAATATTTCTATTGCATAAGCCAAATTTCAAACTACTCATCAGAACCAACAGAGCAGTGCGCTGTGTGAGATGACATGGGGTGGAGACAGCAGTCAGAAAGCAGTAAACATAATGCAGCAAAGGAGGAGGAGGGCTGGGATGCACGTGAGCTGGCAGTGAAACTGAGGGACAGGAATAAGCCCCACTCGTGCAGTGTGGGAAGAGGTGGCCTCTCTCCATGCGCAGAAGCAATGCCATATCTTCACCCGGAAGATACAATCTCTTACCTAGAGATACAGTCTCACTCCAACAGGACCATTTATTCTTCAGGTAATTGAGCATAGTTCAAGGCAGTATGAGCAGCATGTCACTGGTAGATGTGGCTTTCCCCAGCAGGCCATCTCGCATGTTCCATCTGAGTTAGAAATTTCTCTCTCATATTCTGCATGTAGTATTTGTTATTGACATCTGACTTTGACATACCACCTTTAAAACACAATCCTGAATCATGAACCTGGATGGGCAGGCCACATTCTAGGTCTAAAAGGTACATCTGAAGGACATTTTTCAATTTGCCACAGGCTTGACATACTTCAACTTTCCTGAAATCCATGTGGACCTCAGGGCACTAGTGAAACAGTGTGAACGGCCTGGCACAGATTTTGTATTCCTTCTCATGCTTTTATTTGGTCATTCAGATACATGAGTTCTCTGTGAAATGTGTCTGGCACAAAATGGGAAAGTCCCTCCCAGCTCTTGTTGTGGGCCTTAGAACCCAGAGAGGTTACCATCTTGAGATTATGAGAACTTCTGCTTGAGAGCTCTTGAGGTGGGAGAGAAGACTGCCATGATCCCATCAGGCCCAGCCATGCAAAGAAAAAGAATTGGTATTTTACCTACCAGACTGAATCAGGCCCAGCCATGCAAAGAAAAAGAATTGGTATTTTACCTACCAGACTGAATCAGGCCCAGCCATGCAAAGAAAAAGAATTCATATTTTACCCACCAAACTGAATCAGGCCCAGCCAGGAAATACCCTTGTTCATTAACCTAAGATTTGGGACTTTGATTACATCAGCCTCATCCCCTCAAGGTGGCAGCTAATTTAGCATTTGATTGGATAAATGGGAGAGGATGTCCCATCTAAAATAGACAGCACCAGGCCTAGAGAGATTCTCTAGTGAATTCTACCAAACATTTATTTTATAATTGACAAATAATAATTCTAAACATATATTATGTGGTCCAATGTAATGTTTTGATATGTTTACCTTGTGGAATGATTAAGCCGAGCTGATTAGCAAATTCATCATCTCCAATATTTATAATTTTTTATGGTGAAAACATTTTAAATCTAGTCATTTGGCAATTTTGAAAGATACAATGCAATATTGTTTATTACAGGCATCACTTTGTCTAATAGATTAAGCTTAATCTTTTTGTCCAGAGTGGTAGAATCGTATCTTAAATTCATTAGTTTGAATTTTTAGCCAAAAATATTTATGTAAAGGGCCATGTCCAGTTCTATAATATTTATCAGATACAGTCCATAGTTGAAGAGAAATACATATAACAGCAATAGTTCATTCTCTCTGAAGCCCAACCAATAATGCCTAGAGTCAGAAGTTTTGAAGACAAAGTCGTAGTTTTACTGAACAAAGGGAATAAAACAATGCTAACAGTTATTCTATTTTATTTTTTGAGATAGGGTCTCATTTTGCTACCCAGGTTGGAGTACAGTGGTACAATCATAGTGATCCTGTGACCTCAGCTTCCCAAATAGCTAGCACTACAGGGACATGTGACCATGCCCAGCTATTTTTTGAGAAATTTTTGTAGAGACAGGGTTTTCTATCTTGCCCAGGTTGATCTCAAATTCCTGGCTTCAAGTGACCTTCCCACCTTAACCTCCCAAAATGCTAGGATTACATGCATAAACATTTATATTTAAATTGCTACAGGCACACAGACTTGTGAGAATCTAGTGGAGTGTCTATAATATTTACTAAATTTTATGATTCTTCTGCAAGAATACTGAAATGAATAACCTTGAAATCCAGTTTCTTCATTAATGTCTTCATAAATCAATAACTCTCAAAAAATAATTTGTTAAAAACAGCATATTTTCTGACTAAAAGAAATAAAGCAAATTGAGCAGTTAGATATCAGTGTAGTAAACTGCGTAAAAGGATCATACTTTAGCATTATTTATAATAGTGAAACTGAAGAGGTCTAAATTTCTTCAGAGAAGGAACAGTAAAACAAATTGTAGTCCACTTTTTCTTTGGAATACTTTTAAGACATTAGTCATAGTAAATTAGAATTATGTACACTCATATGGAAAAATGTCAGTGACACACAGTTTGAGAAACAGAAAATTTAAAAATGTTGCAGTATAATGTAATTTGTTAAAAAAAACTTTATGTATATAATTTACGAATTCATTTTAAAAACCCAGAAGAATAGACACCAACCTTTTAACAATAGTTTCTTCTAAGAAGGGAGTGAGTTTGGAGAGAAGCGTATGAAAGAGGAAACTTTTGGTTTATAAAGAGCTGTATGACTTGTCATCTTATTTATTCATTTTTTTACGGTATGTATTTCTTTTATACTTACAGACAGAAGAAAAATGACTACTGTTTGGTAACAGGGTAGCAGTATTATCTTTATTAACGTTTATATTTGGGAAACAGGAACCTGTTAAGAGAAAGTCCAGAGAAAATATTAAGACAAATCATTCCTGCAAAAGGTGAGAGGATTATTTAGGGTTATTTTTTCATAATAACAAATCTTTCAGGTGAGGAAACATCAGGAACAAACAGGCACTCCAGCAGATACTACCATCAGTGAGCCGAGCGGAGCAGAGCACAGACACACATCTAAGCAGAACACACTAAACTGGAAGAAGCACCAGGCTCTTCCTGGTGATGATGGTGATGACAATAATTACCAGTACATGGTAACATTCAAATAGAACTGGCAGTGGTGACGACAATAATCAAGATTCATTTAGCACCTATCATGTGCCAGGCCCTCTTTCAAGCATTTTACACATTGAATTCATTCTACCACGTACAACATTCTCACCTTTATCTATTAAAAAGGTCCTGCAGGGCTGGGCATGGCGACGCATGCTTGTCACCACAGCACTTTGGGAGGCCGAGGTGGGAGGGTGACTTAAGCCCAGGAATTCAAGACCAGCCTGGGCAACATGGTGAGACCCCATCTTCACAAAAAATTAGCTGGGCATGGTGGTGCGCACCTGTAGTCCCAGCTACTCGGGAGGCTGAGGTGGGAGGATCGTCTGAACCTGGGACTTCGAGGCTGCAGTGAGCTGTGATTGTGCCACTGCACTGTAGCCTTGGCCACAGAGCAAGACCCCATCTCTTAAAGAAAAAAAAAAAAAAAAGGTTCTGCAGCTTCTAAGTGGCTGCCTGAGCCCAGGTGTGGAGACCAGGGGACCCGACGCACATGTGCTGAGCAGCCCCCACCTCCCCTCCATGTCTGTTCTCCCTGGTCCTTGATCTACCTTTGTCCACCCAGGCCCCATGTGGGATGCCCCCACACTGGCCTTATCCTCAGGCACCTTGCAGGTGGCCACCACCTGACTGATGTGACAGGCGGACAGCATAGATGAGGGGCACACAGCAAGGGCAGGTCAACTCATAGCCCATGGGTGTACTCATGTGAGCCTCAAATGGGCCCCTGGCTTTAAATCTTCAACCCTCCCAAGACACGCAGGAGATGTATACAGCTCTCAGCTACACCATGCAGGCAAGAGTACTCAGCAAGGGGAGGTGCGGTGAGTCAGCTATGGTGGACCAATGGTGCAATGTGAGGGCCTGATGGTGGACCCTTGCCACAAGCAAAAGACCTTTGTTATCCACTCCGCAAGGCTGGCCACTCAGGGACTCGGCTTGTTCTGGGCTGAGTGGGACAAAGGGTCCCTGTCAGTGCCCAGAGACAGCTCACGAGAACGAGAACTGAGAAAGGGAAGAGATGGTGGTTGAGAGGTGGACGGCTGCCAATTTACACAGCATGGGAATGGAACAGCAACAAACACCAGTAGAAAGTCAGTCTCTTCCCAGCAACTATCCCTAAGAAAAGTAGTGATCGGCAGGAAAAGGAAGGGAAAAGTAGAATGGATTATAAATTAACTGTAGAAGAGAAAAAATCCCAAAAGTAAATTATCAATGAGTTTGAAGCAGGTAAAATGTAGATGCATTTTGCCTGCTGTTTCTGAGTAATTTTACAGCTTTGTGTAATAGAAGCTGCTTTCCCTGCAGAACCAGGGCATCCTCGGTCATCCTCAGCGTTGTTAGGTGATGACGGCTAACAGTTCTGGTTCATTCTCTGCCTGGGTGGTACCCAGATACTGCCAAGCTTCCGTGTGCTAGGATCCTGCTGTCCAGCTGCCTCAAAATGCAGCACACTCTCCTGAAGTCGCTGCCGGCCTTTCAAAGGCTGAGGGTGATCACGCAGGAGGTCCTGCTCCTTCAACTGGAACCCCTTACCATAGGAAGCTGATTGTAGGGAACCAGCCCTCACACCCGACCCGTGGTACCCCGAGTTTGGTGGTGACAAAGGAATGAGAAAAAGATTAAGAATCAAAGTGGGACCAGGGGACCATCACTTGTAATGCAGGCAGTGAAGGCCCTGAGCTCTGGTTTCCACAATATTTATTGAACACAATCACTTGTATCTGTAGTGCAGGTGGCAGGGTGAATCAGAGAAAGGGAGGCCGTGCATCAAACATAAGATCGATAGCAGTGGCAGTTTATGTGAGTTTCTCAAGAACTAAAAGCGTATGCCCATCAGTAGACAGTGCAGCTGGTGGGAGGGTCTTAGCAAGGAGCCTACAGGCCTGGTTACATTTCAGTGCTTCAAGGGAGTGTGATGTCCTTGGGCACTGTGTTTAGAATATCAGAGCTTAGGTCACTCTGTTCCTGGGGACATGCTGGTAATAGAGAGGCCTTCCTCCCCAGAGGCCTCCTGTGGCTTCCGCAGTTTATTGTTCCCGATTTCTTTCATACATTACTTATAACCAGTTTACGTAGGCTCACTGTAAACCCTTCTCCACTGCTGCTGCCCCCAACACTGATGTGAGGTCATCATAGTCAGAAAGCCAGGGGTGAGTCTCAGCACCCCGCTTTGCCATCTCCTCCAACTCTGCAGCTCTGCAGCTGACTTGGCCTGTTCAGACTCCTTGTCAAGGGCAGTTATGTTTACTGGTCTCATGGACAGTCAACCAGGCATCTGAGTTACCCTCAGAATTAGCCAATTTGGGGTCATCCACTTTGGCCACGTGCTGCAGACCCTCCTCCGGATGATATTCATCATCCAGAGATCAGTGACTGCTGTTCCCTCGTGCTGTCCCAGCCACAGCTTCTCCTCTGATTGCTCCAAATATTCCTCAGCCCAGCGGGTAGGGGAAACAGCCAAGGGGTCTGTCACTTCAGACATGAATTACTGGGACTGGTCTCGTTATAATTCCGAGTTACATCCACAGCATCTCCAGCTGCAAGACACTGCTGGGCCCAGTTCTCAGAGAAGACCAAGGCGGCCATACCAGGGGCTGTCTGCGGAGCCTGGAGGAAATTTGACTGTTCAGTC